TTTGTCGGCCGATCAATTTTGTGACTATCGGTCCAAGTTATATTTTTTCTTCGTCGGTGGCCGATTTTTTCAATTGAAGTTACCCATCGACTAACCTTCGATCATCGTCCGATCATCGGCAGTCAGTTTATGAAGTCGGTCGACCGTTGTTCGACAATAAGGGTGTCCAAAATTTCGGCCGACGGTTAATATCAAACTGTAGCTCAGAGCTCGATAATCGGGCGAGGATTGGCCTACTTGTGAATATTTAACCTATGTAAAGGAGAAAGGCCTCAAACTGTCCATTATGTTAGAGAAAGAACTAATCTTGGGCCTACGGCCCTCGATTAGTTCTTTCTTTCACAGAATGGACAGTTTGAGGCCTTTCTCCTACTTAAAACATGATTCTCTTTGTTCTGCAAATTTAACAAAAAATGTGCAAAACAGGTAGCACACATACTATAAATTATTTGTTTTCAGAATGGACAGTTGCAGGTAAGCTTGGGGTGCACAGCAATTTGTTGAATAGCCATTGTGTTTCCAGTTGCAAATAACAAACGGTCTTTGTCTAAAGAATGGACAGTTACAAGTAGATTTCTGGGGATGCTAGTTTTTATATAAAAATGCAACTCCCCAAAATCAGTTTACATTTTGCCTTGTAAAGGCAAACATGTTTCCCTCCAGTGGAGAGAATATATGACAGAATCGAAATCGAATTGAATCCAAAAGATGCACAAAACCAGTGATACTTTGACCTGGAAACAGATAATAGTAAGGGTTAAAGAAAATATTATCCAATCTTTATCCCCTCAAAACTTCGACGACAAATACAGATATTTCGAATTCAAACCGGAAATCTGTTTTTTTTTATTCGAATTTAGTTTTTGAGGATATATTAATTGCAGCAGTGTAATGGTTAAATGCAAATTGTGTTCCGAGTGTTGGATAGCCATGGGCCAACTACTACCTGAAAATGTAACGTTATATCACATCAAATCTGGAAATGTTTCAATTTTGATTATTTGCTGCTGAAATATTTACTGCAGCAATGTAGTTTTCTGGGTGATGGATTTCATATCAGCCTACTTCAAGCTTAAAATGGATTCTTCTCGAGGGAATGATGCTTCCAAAATCTTAATCAAATGTGAAATTGTGTCATTTAAATTCGAGTTTTGTGAATTGAAATAATGTGCATTACTCATGGATTTAAATGTGTAAAATCGAACAGATCCGGTGCAAACACTGTGCTTTGGATTTACTTATATCTCCAAGTTCTTTTTGTTATTCACATGTACATTAAATCGTATTTATTTTTTTTTATAATAATTTGGTTTTGTTTCCCTATTGTCACATGCTAAGGTTTACCTGTAACTCTCCATTCTGTTTGTTTTAACTGTCCATTCTTATTGAAAAAACTGTCCATTCTTAAAAAGAATGGACAGTGTTCCAAAAAGAATGGACACTTACAGGTGACTTATTGGATTGTTAGGGGAGTTAGCTCAACACTAAGCTATAGAATGGACAATACAAACAAAAGGTTTACGTCAAAGTCATGTTTTAATTAGATTCAAATTTGTAAGAATTATTTCTCCTGTTCACTCTGTAGAGAAGGAAGATAGATGTCTGTCATCTAAATGTTTAAGGCATGAATTTTGTCATCGTCGGAAACCCACGGGTGATCTCGTCTTTACTTATCACCCGTGGGCAAACTCGCCGAAAAATCGTCGTATGTAATTAAATATGCATGGGTCATTTGATTGGCCGCATTACAGAGTCGCGATGCGTAACAACTAATCACAATTCACGTTAAGTATGAAAGTTCGGCATTGCCAAAAACATGAAAAACTCATTCTGTAGTTAACACAGCTGATATATCCACTCACCTGTGCATTTTGCAGTTAGAAAGAGCTACTCCTACATAATATCTGACGGATATTAATGTCAGTGACCTGTACGAATTGATTTTCATTGTTCTAAATCAAACTTCGCACGTTTTAACGAGCGTCAAAATATTTACCATAAATAGCAAAGTAATAAACGTATTTTTCAAAATTGAAGAGTTTCAACTTTCTGATTGGTTGACTAAAAACAACAAATTAGCATATTTTACGGCGATATTTCGGCGAGTTTGCCCACAGGTGATAAGTAAAGACGAGATCACCCGTTGGTTTCCGACGATGGAATTTTGTGTGATTTTTAGAAATTTGCCCCTTCCTGTGGATGCAATTTGTTACATATATACTAGTGGCCTAAGTATAAAATACAAAAAAAATATGAAGGGATCGATGGACGGTTCCTTAACCACTTGTTACAATTATGGCTTCCTGTGACGTACATCCTAAGAAAAAGATTCAGGTGCATGAATTGTCAACGAGTCTTTTGATTCTGGCTCTGATTTTGATGAATATGATTCTGACAGCGAACATTCATTTGGTAGCGAGACGGATGAAGTGGTTACGATATCGAAACAACAATGTTTAAATCTGAAACAGGTACTTGAATCTTGGTTTATAAAAATATGTACTACCTTATAAAAAGTCTTATTGATCTGTAAAAAAAAAAAAAGAAAGAAAGAAACTGTTGATGGGCGCATGATTATACACTAGAGATTTTTTACAAGGCAACATATGCCTAGTAAACCTGTTTCTAACCGTTCTATAGTAACCAAACACCACAGAGACCTTATATAGACGTAATCAAACCCACAGCACTCAATATACATGTTTCCTGGATAAAGAATTGTTTGCTCTTAACTTTCAAGGTTGGTACATGTACATGATGTAGCAATTAAAATATCTATATAAATTTAACAATGTTGCAAAATACATATACATCATATTCACATCTGCATTTATAGCATAATTAGTATTTTGGGGATGATGAAGAGGGGGGAAAATTGAATAGGTCCAAGTGTTTTGGAAGACTGTTTAGTAATAGGGTAAATTAAGAATTTGATAAGGGGATCTTCACTGTCAATTTAATCACCATAATTGCCTATTATGTTGAATAAATGTTGAATCTGGTAAAGAACAGCATGGTCAAAGCTTCTCAGGTGAGCGATGCGGCCCATGGGCCTCTTGTTTATGAAATAGGACAAATTTCTTTATTGCAGCAAAAGGAAAAGTGTCAACTAAAAGTGTCAAATACTTGTGCAGACTTTTCAAATTCAAAGGTCAAAAGTCACTATGTGTTCCTTGACAAGTTTGTGTTTAAAACAGCTAATATTATAAATATAAGACTTGGAAATTGTGTAAAGAAAGGGATTTCATTTTTTTAATACTTTGTGCAATTTCAGATATTTAACTTCCATTTCTCTGTTAAGTTTTTCAATGGGATTTTCAGCTGTGGAGATAGAAAGAATTATTACAAAGTGATTCCAATGTAGTTTTGTGAACAGAATCTAGAAATAAGAAGAGGGGTGACAAATTGATGTAGATGCAGCATTAGCGTGACCTCTGCTGAAAAAATGGTAAAGATGTTTTAACACAATAAATTTCTTCTTTCACATACTAACTGCAATTCATATACTGTAAACAGAGAAGTAAAGAGAAAGTATAAATATATGAATTGCCCTGTCTGTGTGTGGAGTTGCCTCATGCATTTCCCATGAACTCTGTAACTTTGCTACAAGAAGATAAGAAGTTCTTGTTTTCTTCAAAAAAAGCCAGAAGATTGTGAAGAATCTCACCCAAGCTATTTGATGATATTTTTCCGAAATTGGAATATAAAAATGTAGCATTATCATAAACATGACATTTATTTATTTGTGTAGTATGGCTTATTTTAATATAATCTGAAAACTTTCTTTTTTCACATGTACATGCTTTGCGTTACTAGTTTAAGTGTATATGGATACAGACAAGTTGTTCTTTTAACAAGGAGTGAAAATTTCTGTACTTGTTTAATTTTCTACAGAACTTATTGGATGCTACAAAGGAAGAAAATGGGGTCATACTGAACAGAATAGTTTGGATACATCTCATATCTTTTGAAAGCTTAAGTTCTCAAGGTCAACTTGCAAATGATTTAACGAACATGGAGAAATGAAAATAAAGACAGTTTATGATCATAGTAAAAGCTTGCGTACTGACCAATATTTCAGGATAGTTTGTATAGATGTTAACTTGTAAGATTTATTGGTACATGTACATAAAAATCGTAAACATGTTTTTCAATGTATATCAGGTATCATTTGCAGGAATACACAAAAATCCGAGTAAATAATCAGTTTTTGTTATGTTAAATAAGCTCAAAGATCAAGGTCAACATTGCTTTAGTTTTACCAAATATATATTTATTAAATAAATTTTAATTTCCTGTATACAGGCATAGTAAATAATTCATAATATATATAATTTGGGAATTGAGCTGTGATTTTTTTCTTAATTAGTATCTTAAATTTAGAACCATGACGTATACTCAAGCAAATAGGATGTTTTCAAGCATACAAAATTTCAAGGTCATTTTAATTTTGGAAGTGAATATAATAAAATATCAGGAAGCAGTCAAACATTGTTGAATGCTCTTAGTAATTGACTTAATAAAATATACAAATTTTAATCTGCAATGAAATGAAAAAAAAATAGAAATGTCTATATTAAATCTGTTTATTTTTAAAACTTGGTGTTTATTCATTTTGAGTTTGTTGCCATAAAAATATTTTTGTCAAGAAAATAGTTGTGAAAAATATCTTTCTAGTATGTCTTGTTTCTAAGTTGTTTGACTTTTGACTTTGTGACTGCAAGATAAACAAAGACCATCTCTGTAGGAATAAAGTGTAGACTAGTTAATTTAAAATATTAAATAATGTATGTATTCCTTGTCGTCCAGTTTGACCCTTGACCTTTGACTTTGTGTACTAAATTTGATGACTGTTAAGCAATGAGTCCCGAAGATTTGAATGAAAAATATCTCTTCATAAACGCTCGCTCAATTTCTGAAATCACTTGTCAACAGAAAAAAAATATATGTGAACCTATAGCAAAGCAGGAAACAGGATATTAAATCTTAGAGATAATGGAAAATCCCAGTTGCATAATTAATCCGAGGTCACGAAGAATTGTTGATTTGACAAAATGGAGTATCTTGGCTTCGGAAAAGACGCACTGTATGTCTTTGATCTAGTGGCCGGGGCTCTGGGTTATAAGAAGAATGGACAGAGCAGTGGTGCAGATTTAGTGAACAAGGAGGTCACAGAGGCACTAAGAGCGCTCCAAAAATCAACGGTGTTCCTGAGAATAGGCGGACTGTCCGGTGCCCTGGCAGTTTCAATGGCTGCATATGGAGCACATGGTATTTATTGTACATAACTTGCTTTCATTTTTACACGTGTGAGCACAAAGAATTTGTATAAAGCCAAGCGATCGAATTGTTAATGTTTGCATATATGTGTAATTTTTCTAGTCTTGGGAAACTGAGGAACAAACGAATTTAAAAAAAGGGAGATTTTATATTATAAACAGTTAAATAATGCCCAGTAGTCTTTTTGCTAGCTTAAAGAATACAGATGACCATTGAGGGGAGAGGAGAGAGAAGATAAAAATTCTTCTGTTGTGTTTTACTATAAATTAATACGAGGGCCGTTAAAAAATTACGCGGACTGTGCTATTAATTACTCTTGCAGACGTCATATAGTTATGAAATTTCACAGAAATATGTATCTTAAAGATTCCAATAAATTTTGGGCAACATTTCTGTATTTTAAAAAAAATTCTACTGAAATTATCGTATGTTGATATCGCTGATGGAGAGGTACGAAGCACGACAAAAAAATTAAAGCAAAAGCATGCGGAATCCAAAATTTAACTCATTTATGTTCTATAATTTGCGATATTTTTCGACAATTTTCTCAAATGCATCTTTAAATTGTTCTATTATTATGTATGTAGATTTTTGAAGCATTTTTGACGTGATATTTGAAGCATTTACCGAAAAAATACAGCGATTTTTCTCTGATGCGATTCCCATGAAAATGACGTCTTCTGAATTGACGGCGCACCACTCTTTTGTTAAATTATATGTAATGCTCAAAATATCTCCAACATAGATCCAAAGTATGCATAATAAACAAGTAGTAAACTAGGGTATTCGTGACATTCGTCCACAAATAGCAAATTGAAGTTTTAGACCGTTAGACCTCTGTTAAAAGGCTATAAGGGAGGACGGGAAGAAGATTTTCGACGAAAACTTTATCCGGACTGTAAAGAACGTGATTGAGAGTCACTCATATCACACTATATCTCATAAATACCTGCATTTTTTGGTTTTAAAAAAAAACAAGAATATTCTTTACTTGTTTAATAGATATTAAGCTTGACAAGAAATGGTGTTTGGATGTTGAGTAGATAAGGGAACTCAAACTGTGCAGGTACTCTTGGGAAAATGTTGAGAAAATGAGAGAAAAATCACATATTTTTATGCCCCCGTAAACGAAGTTTCGGGGGCATATAGTTTTTGTCGTGTCCGTCGTCTGTCTGTCTGTCTCTCTGTTTGTCTGTTTGTCCGCAAAAACTTTAACCTTGCCTATAACTTTTGATTTAGTGGAGCTATGACATTCATATATCACATGTGTATTTCTTGTGACAAGACCTTTCTTTGGGTACCACCAAATTTGACCTTTTGACCTTGACCTTAGAGTTTGACCCACTTAAACACAAAAATTTTGAACTTTTACTTTGGCCATATCTTTTGAACATGAGATACCAGGACATTTATATTTCACATATGTATTCTTTGTGGAAAGTCCTTACATTGGATACCAACATCCTTGACCTTTTGACCTTGACCTTGGAGATTTCCGTATCTATGAAAAAACTTTAACCTTGGCTATAACTTTTGAACAATAAGTACTACGGCTTTCATACTTCACATATATAATTCTGATAAAAAGATCTTTTATTGGATACCAAGAACCTTGAACCTTTGACCTTGACCTTTGAGTTTGACCTACTTTGAAAATACAACATTGACCATAACTTTTGAAGGGTTCGGGCTAGGGCATTCATACTTCACAAATATATTCCTTCTGGCAAGACCTTTCATTTGATATAAAAAATTTTGACCCTTTGATTTTGTTTCTCCGTGACTTGATGATATGTCCTGAAAAATCACTCAAAATTGAAACCAATTTACAACATTTTGATATGAAAATTTGAAGACCATATAAGTAAAGATTCTTTTATATTATGTGTGACATTTTGCCCGATTATGTCGTCAAATATTTTTTCTGTGCAACAAGTCCGCGTAATTTTTGAACGCCATTGTATGTAATATAAAATGATTCTTTTTAAATGAAAAAGGTGAACATATTAATAAAACTGATAGATCTGAAAAAAAAAACAAACATTGAATTGATACAAAATTGAGAACACGACAAACATATATACACGGATCCCCCAAAATTCCGTGGGATCAGGTACCTGGGAGGAGTAAACATCCCCAGTTAACAGGTCACACGGGCTGTGTGTTCTATGCACTTATCAGGTGGAAGGACCATTCTGTGAGTCAAATCCAGTACAAAAGCAGACCTAACAAGTAGCATGAAACAAGTCAGCTAAAATACGACCCATTGATAGGTTATATTTGTTAACAAGGTCATTATGATCACCATAGAATTTACAAAATGCTAACTTAAAACGATGTTGTTGAAATCCCTCTAACATCAACCGATTTGTCAGTAGCCTGCGTCTCTTAAAAACTCGATCTTATACTCGGAGGATGCTCTTGAGCTTTTGAGAATTCAAATCGGATTTACACCACTTCTAGAATACTTAAATAGCACAGTAAATCTGAAGTTTCTCGATATCCTAGCCCTGTTTGTTCTAACATGTGTATGTTTCCATGAGGCTAAACTAGCTTAGAATTTAGTCCAAATTGTATAAGTTCGTGTTTTACGTGTATATAGAAAAAGCTGGATGTTTATTTCTCATGATTTCTGTTCTAGTGACCTTCTACAGTGAGAACCATTTCAACATATACCAAATGTTTACATTTTTAAATGATATACATGTAGTTCGACTCAGTGAAGAAACTGCATCGTGCAATGACGTTTAATGATTAGCAATCTTTTGATAGCTCCAGCATTGCAAGAAAACTTACAACGTCGACAGGTAAAGTATACCTTTGGTTTGATTTACTACACACAGTCCCAATATTAATCATCATAATTTAGGTCAGACGATGCGTTTCACAAATATCTGTTTTGTATATCTTTTAATAGTGCATGAAAAATATACAATATTTACTTTCTGATTTCCGGTTTCTAATTGTTTTTTAAAATTTGAAACACTAAAAATGTAATTTTTGCAAACAAGTTTTTCCCCTAAAAGATTATATCCTCTGGATGCCTGGTAAGGTAGCTCAATTTTTTGTGACAAAGTATGTTAAAGTATTAATTTTTTAATGACAACATATTAGAAAAATGATATATTATTGAGGAACGTCTCGTCTGTCATACAGGCGTTTTGTTTCCAAGGAAGACCTTTAACTGTTTTCGTTCGGTTTCTTTTTTTGCATTAAATATAGTCTTTTATACCGATTTTGTGTACCGATGTTTGAGTTTTCAGAAACGGCTGGTTGGATTTTCATGAAACTTTCAGATCTTATGAATTTTGATCTGAAACTTATTGGAAATATTTTAGACTTATGACGTCACTTTCGGTCGTGAGATATATATGGACTATTTTCAGAGGGTCGGCTCATCCTGTGACGGTAAAGGAGGGATTTTTTTTGGGGGGGGGGGAGGGGGGTTATTTTAAGAGCAAAAAGAACCGTAGCTTGCCTCACAAGCATCTCGCAATATTTAACACTTTTCCTTTCATATCTTATACCTGTAAATATTTTGATAAAATATATATATTATGAAAGTTGTTCAGAATTATAAGTGTATTTATCTAATATCAAGAAAAAGGGCCTGGTTCCACAAATTAGGGGCGCAGTGGGAACCATTTTGATAAGCTATATTGTGATGTTCAGAATAATGTTTTGTTATACCTTTAAAAAATTGTTCCTATACAAATCTATACGTAAAAAAGTCTAACGTTTTAAATGTTTTGCTGAGCGGGTATAAAAAAATCGATGTTGGACCGCTGAGTGAGATGTTGGACCGCTCGGAGAGATGTTGGACCGCTTACGTCACAGAGTGGGCGGAGCTTTATTTTCATTCGTTGGTGTTAAAGAGTGACAAACCTGATGTTTCATGACGGAATAAATTACAAAATACATGTATGTCAAAAAATATAAAATAAAATGAAAGGTATAACAAAACATTTATTGACAGAGTTCTCGGGCAAAATGCGTTTTGTCGGACCCTCGAACCAAACTGTCTGCCTTCGGCCTAACGGCCTCAGGCAGACAGTTTGGTTCTTGGGTCCGACAAAACGCATGTTGCCCTAGAACTCAGTCAATAAATGTATATTATAAATCACCAGTATAAAATCTAAGGAAGGTAATCTTAATTACTGTGTGAACCAGCTTTAGGACATGTATTTGTAGACTTACCGGTATACACGTACATGTACACTGTATCTTGTTAAAAAACTAGAATTGATTTTGCCGCATTTCATTTTCTTTTTTGATTGCAGATTTACGAGAAAGGATACAAAATGCAGTTGGCGCATTCTGTTGCACTTGCTTATTCAGACAATTGTAATAAACCATTTTTGGTACGTACTTACGGACTGTTTATCAGTTTTATTCGAGAACCATTTAGACTTCCAATTTCCCAGGATTCTCAGTAGGGTGGTTAAGCATCCATTGCGCTTTTTAGTTTAAAATACCATCATTATCTCAAAGACCTTTGACACAGTTGGTAAAAAGCAAAGGAGTCTTAAAATTTATTTTTGACTTGTTAAAGCTTTGATCCCTGGGACCCCTCTTATCAATATGTGTTTCAAATAGAGAAGGATTTGAGTTTTCGTGAATATTGAAGGAAAAGGGTGTATTTTATAACCTTGAGCCCACCCCTCGATCACCAAAAACCAAATCGTGGATGAAATATGAAGATAATGAATAGTATTATTGCTCAATGTAGCTAACGACATCAGAGGCGGGTTCAGGTGCCAATTATTTTTTACGGTTTTCCCTTATTTGATTGTCTTAATAATTTAGTTTCACTTTAAATTTGCTGTTTGAAATGGACATAACTAGGTATAATCAGCTTCAATCAAGGGTGTAAGGAATTTACCTAGGGTTCTTCATGGTACTAAATATACCGTGAAAATACATCTTGCAAGTGCCATGAACAGACACTGAGGAATATATAGCCCAAATATGGCATGCCAAATTCACAAAAATGAGCTAAACATAGTTTCACAATTGATAAACTAGGTTTATCGACTGTAAACTATACTTTACGAACCGTGAACTATAGTTAACAATTCGTAAACTATAGTTTCCATTTGTAAAACTATATTTAACGTTTGTTAACTATAGTTTACGAATGCTATTCTACATTTATATGTCTGTAATAAGAAGTCAACAATAGACTTTTTTGATAAACATAGATTCACGTCTGTAAGCTGTAATTTACAATCTTGAACTATACTTAAGAGTTGTTAATCATAGTTTCACAAATCGTAAAACTATATATTTATCAGATCTTTAACTATAGTTTACGGTTTGTAAACCATAGTTTACAAATCGTGAAACTGAATTTATCAGATAATCTATGTTTTGCAATTGCACATGATTGTTTTCAGTGTTAAGTATAGTTTACGGTTCTGAAACATAGATGATCGTGTTAACTATGGTTTCAGATCTAAAATATAGATTAACATTGTTAACTATAGTTTAAAGTCCGTAAACTATAGTTTACAACTGAAAAACCTAATCTATCGACTGCGAAACTATGTTTAGCTCATTTTTGTGAATTTGGCGTGCCATACCCAACGCTTTCAACCTTTTTTTTTTATCTTTACAGACTGGGTGCTTCTTTGCGATGGGAATTCTGGTGTATTCTGGCAGCTGTTATGCCCATGCTTTATCGGGTAACGAGATGTTTCGAAAAATCACTTACGCTGGAGAAGCTGCTCTCACGGTTGCTTGGTTAAGCATGTTGATTCTTTGAGAAAAATTAAAACCTTAAGTTGCAGTCAAAGAAACAAAAACATAATAAACAAATTTATATGTGAAAGACAAAATTGTCATTTGTTTAAAAAAATTAATATTGAATTGTTATTGATATTTAAAAAAATATAAAATTATTATATGTATATATACCAGGGATGGGATCAATAACTTTAAAAAGTAATTAATTAAATTACAATTACTTTACAAAAGTAATTAATTAAATTACAAATTATATTTCAAATTTTTTGGAAAATCCTATAATTCTTGTCAATGAATATACAGAACAGGGATCATTCATTGTATAAAAGCGGGTCTCTGCACAAAAATACAAGAAATAATATGGTAAAGCCATTGTGTATATTTGTGGTTTAAATTTTAACTTTTATTAACAAAACAGTAAAGAACTACTTGAGATCAGTTTGATGCAGTTTCCTCCACACAAACCCTACATGTACACAAACCGCATGTGATATGATATTTGATTAAACAGGGGGTATTTCAATAGAGTGTAATATTTCACAACTGTAACCCCTCATATTAAATATTTCTTTTGAAGTTAATAAAAAAACTCCTTATATTGCTATTTATGCAGACTATTTTTACTTCATAAATAATATTTGTACAGAACAAAACGTTTTCAGATACAAAATTCGGTTTATTCCCTGAACGTCTACTCATTATAAAATTATTTAATTATCACACTCAATTAAGAGGTCCTCTAAGGGGTCCAGGTAGAGTTTACCTGTGTTACCTTGATGTGATTAATACTTAAATATTTACTGATAATTTTTGTACTCAAGTTCAAGGTCAGTTAATTCACCCAAACTAAAATATTGTTATAAATCTGGAGTTCATTAATACATGTACCATAAATAAACTTAAAATTAAATACTTGATATATGTAATTGAAAGCACCAAAAAACATATTTGTTCATACTGTACAATAAATATTTTTTATTAAAAAAAACTTTTAAAATACGAAAAAGAAACAGTACTACAAAAGACATGTAAAGAGAATTTTTGGCAACTTATCTTCAAAAATAATTTCAAAAATCCCATTTAATTGGGGGTGGGGTGTGTAATTTAAGAGGCCTTAATTTTTTAAAGTTTTAAGATTGTCGTTAGAGTAATAAAGGTACAATATTAACATCTCATAAAACCTGTCACGAAAAGCCAGATAAGCGGTGTTTTTAATTGTTGCTAAAAATTAATTATGAAAAATATACACCAAATGATATGGATAAAATCTTTTTAAAAAATGATAAAATTTTTCTGTTGAATTCCTCCTTTAATAAATACAGGTATAGATAATTCAGGTAAACTCTACCTGTACCCCTTAGAGGACCTCTTAATTGAGTGTGATAATTAAATAATTTTATAATGAGTAGACGTTCAGGGAACACACCCAAAATTCATTCCCAAAATTTTGTTTAGACATTAAAATAATTATCAATTTGAAAGTGTTTCTTTTCTCAAACTAGCAAATCATTTTAAATTGAAATAATTATCCCCATGCATTGGCTTTGTCTTAGTTATCATGGAATGAATGGTGTGTTCAACCCCGGCCCCGAAGGTTTATTCCCCGAATGGCTACTCGGAAAAAAACAACAAGTAATTATCACACTCAATTAAGGGTCCCTCTAAGGGGTACAGGTAGATTTACCTGTGTGAATAATCTACCAGAATTAAAATAAAATAAAATGGATTTTTAAATGATTGTTTTTATAAGAGCACTAGTTTGAATAAATATTTTGTATACATATTTTTTAAATAAATAATTTTACAAGCACAAAACATACTAAAAAACTGTAAATTATCTTGAAGTTCTATTGTTTAGCAGCACTTATTTTCACATTATGTATAAAACAGCATTGTTTCACTTTCATATCACACATATTTACAATATTTACATGAAGATATCTGAAATACAGAAGGCGGACCTTATATTATACTGCCTTTTAAGGTCTACCCTGTCCCTTTTTCTAGTTTTACCAACAAGAGAGAACTTAATTAAAGACACATATTTCTTTTCTTTTTTTCTTGACACACATATTCTGCATTGATCAAGCAACAAACTTAAGATTAAAATATAATAAATGTGTTTTTCATAGATGAATAGACCTTAGAAGGGTGGTGCAAAATTCAGATAAACATGAAACAAAAAAAATTAAATTTTATAAAATAAATGGAAAGAAACTAGATTAACTTCAATCTGTAAAATTGAAGGATTGGGGATATTTTTTGCAATAAAAGCACAGTAAAATGGGGAGGTAGTGGTAACAATATATTATTTAAATACGTGTACATGTGTATAATATAAAGTAATTGAATGTAATTGAAAAAGTAATTGAAATTACATGGTATTTATTCAGTGTAATTAATTAAATTACAATTACATGTAATTGAAAAAAATGTTCAATTACAAATTACTTGCAATTACTTCAAAAAATGTAATTAATTACAGCCAACTACAATTTCTTTTTTCAATTACCCCATCCCTGATATACACGTATTTGCTTCCTCTCTTGTGGTACATGTACTAGTATTGAATTAACTGTATTCAGATAAAAATGTTTTTTCAGTACCGAGTATTTCCAATACAAAAAAATAATAAAATTATCCTAAATTAAGTAAATTTACTTTTTACTGAGCAAATGAACAAAATATAAGAAACAAGAGGTACTGTGAACAATGAGCTCACTAAATGATACCCCCGCCCACCTTATAATTATAATGTCAAAGTCCCTGTTTTGCTTTTGGCCATGGAGACCCGAAATAAGTGTCCGATAAAAAAGTAAAGCAGGAGGTCACAATGGCATTACATTCATGTAATGAAGAATCTGTGAGAGTATCATTAAATTTTATTCAGTGGTATAGGAGGAGTTGGGGATAAGAGATGGGTACCCTTCAATATTATAGAAAAAATGCATTGTCAATGCTTTGCTCTGAAAAACCCAAAATTTGTGTCCGATTAAAACGTAAAATAGAAGGTGCACAATGACACTTTATATGACAAAGATTCTGTGAAAGTCTCATTAAAATCTATTCAGTGGTAAAAGAGGAGTTGCGGATAAGAGATATATAGGCACCACAAAGCGTAATAGACAGACGGAGATACTGATTACTATATATCCTCTCGCTTTTCAAGCGGGGGTATAATGAATTATGTTTTGGCTGTTACATTTAATTGAACTGTCAGGTAATAACTACTCCACAGGAAGTTACGTGCAATGGAACACTTGATTTTACAAATACACACATAGGGTCGTCATAGGGTCATCTTGACCTTGCTTTCAGCATTACAATAGAAAACAGCTGTATGATTTTCATTAAATTTATTAAAGACTCGAAAAAGCATTATGCAGTCTTGCATTATTCTTTATTGTGAGGAACATAAGGGGATGGCATTTAATGTTCGATATGTATAAATGTACAATCAAAAATAGGGTCCAGGAGGGATAGCTTGCATACCAACTAATAAATACCGGGCCAAATCAGTGGTTTAGTGTTAGTCACAGGTGCCTGGGATCCCAAATTTAGGTACTAGACTTCTGGGACCGAGAAAGTTGAGAGCAAATATCATTATACCCTGCTTTTGGTGATTGCATCTGATCAGTAGATGCAAGTATTTCAGCACACGTGGCGACAACCCAATCGTTAACTTCTTACTTGGCTTTGTACTTGACTTTTATGATAAATTGCCATCGCTTGGATACTTTGTAGATTTGTCTACTCAACAACCAACTTATCTGCTGGCAGGGCGGGGAAACAACGAGCCATATATTTTCACAACCCTCCCACTTATCCCCCAGGACCCGCTACAGACATCGATATGATGCTCTCCCATTACTTTACATTAGGGGACAATTTCCCTTTCCCTTTAGTGAGGACCACAATCCACTTTGTAGGTTATTTATTCTATTCTATTGTTCTATTGCCAATGTCTGAGTAGTTGGTACCATAAAGTAGGAAATAGCTTGCGCATAAAACAACTAAGAAAAGTCTTCATACGCGAATACCACAAAATATGGTCAGGGATATATTTGTGGCATTCGGAAAGGCTTTCAAATACAGGATTGCTAAAATACAGGCCCAAACAATACATTGTAAACACTAATTATAATTGGAAAATAATTTTAGATGCTTTATTTTAATCATTATATATATATATATATATATATATATATATATATATATATATATATATATATATATATATATATAGAGTGCACAAAGCAATTCACTTTTTTGTAAGGATTCTCACTTCCGCCCCAGCCCGGGGTTGAACTCTCGACCTACGGAGTCTGTCTTCTAGCAGTACAGGAATAGTGCGTTAGACCGCTCGGCTATCTAAGCAAGTCATAAGAATTGCTTTCGATGTCGATGGAATTCTCGCATGGTCATTGAGAGTAGAAGTGAGATACAGTTATTTGGACATTATTTTCTTATAGGATTGTTACCAAAACACGTTGTAATGAAATTAATTTTATTTATAAAGCACAAGTTACAACAACTCTTAAACTAATATAACTGCCCTAAGTGAAGAAATATTAATATAGAAAGCACAAAGAAATTCACTTTTTATAAGGATTCTCACTTCCGCCCTAGCCCGTGGTTGAACTCTCAACCTACGGAATCTGTCTCCTAGCAGTACAGAAACAGCGCATAAGACCGCTCGGTTATATTAGTTTAAGAGTTGTTGTAACTTGTGCTTTATATATATATATGAGACCCACGAAACAACAGCAGATAGACAGTTTTCGTTCTCGAGTCGCGAAGTTACAATTCAATCAAATAGTTAATCCCATTGCCGGAGGTGCGATGACAAGTTAAAGATCCCTCACTGCTAAATTGCCACAAGTGTCGGATGAAAGTCTAAATTTGCAGTCCGCTACCGGAGTAAATAAACCTTGAAAGGATTTAAACTCATCTTAAAATGCAACCAAAGAATCAAAAATACATGTCTACTAAGATATGCTTCCACTTTAAAATAAGAAAATCTACATTTCTCCAACTGTTAAAACACAATCAATTCCTGCTGAACCAATCGTTATTGCTCAATCCACTACTATACCCCAACGAAAAAAACATTAAAAACCATAGGGCAATGAAGCAAAAAACTATGAATCATTAAAAATTTGCTTAGAAGTACAGTATTCACTGTGTAGAAACGGACTAGGGTAAAGTGCATTACCCTAGTCCAAGATGGCGATAGGCAAATACGCTTCAGATATTCTTGAATAAATATCGGTGACTTCCAATAAAAAAACCTACTTTGTTTTGCACCATTTTAATTTGTTTTGAAGCATCAGTTTTCCTTGCTCAGGAAGAGACAACATTCAACTCTGCGTAATTAAGCAGAAAACGCGTCACGAAGTTTTGCCATTGATAAGGGTAAAGTCTATGAAGTTTTTCTTTGCGATTAGGGTAAAGTTTTTTCGAGACTAGGGTAAAGTACACTAACTTCACAGAGAACAAATGCTATATACAATTAATAAAGTTGAGAAAGAAATTCAAGAAAGTATACAAAAACTTCAGCCTCCACAAAAAAACTTATATAACGATTGTTTTTTTAAAACGTTGTTAAAATTGAAATATTTCATACAGAAGAGCAAAACGTTTGCAAAAAGTTGGCATGAAATGAGCTAATTAACGCCAGATTGCGGATACAAAATTTGAGCATGATTAGGGTAAAGTAAATTTTTGACTAGGGTAAAGATACTAGTATTCTGAGCTCTTTTGGTGACTAGGGTAAAGTAAATGTAAAATGTCATTGCCTTGTTTCAGAACCTTAAGGATCCTATTTAGAGGGATGTTTACTCCTTATAGGCATCTGATCCTACTTCTGGAATTTCCAGGGGTCCGTGTTTTATACCCTGTCCACAGATTTATATTGTTTGTAGTTTTCAGTGATAGATCACTGTTTTTTATCTTCACCTTTTCCCTTGAGCATAAGACCCGACACACACTTTAGGTCGTTTGTTAAATTATTACACTTTAAACACCATGAAACTGAAAAATTGTCATTTTGAGATGAACCGATTGTAAAGTACCACTTTTTGCAGTTAGTTTATAATCCTCTTTTTATTTAGAAGCGGCGAGAAAAAAATCAAACATCTACAGATCAATTTAAGTATACAGAAAAGGGGAGAGAGATATATTTTATTAATTTTCAATTTCTTTTTTGCACTGACGTGTGCATAATGGCCATGCAGAAGTGGGGTGTTTGTAGTATTCTTACACTGGATCTAAGATCGACAAACGATGCAAAAATTAACAGTGCTGTATCTAATGATGCAACTGTCAAAGCATTTCTTCGAGAAAGAAAAATTGATACAGCTCTAAATTCTGGCTTCTGATTCTTAAATTTCAGTATTTTTTTTCTTTAAAGTTGAAAGGCCAACATTTTCCCGACCAATTTCTTTCAGTACATTTACCTTTTTTTATTTGCATAAAATACTACGTATTACTAATATAAATTTACTGTAACAAAAATAAGGGGGGGGGGTCAGTCTTTCATTGGACATTTTCAACAGTAAAAGTTATGTCAGGCCCCCTGTCCACCCCTGTTGCTACGTACCTTGGGCACGAACTCTGTCTTGTTATGTGAAGTTTCATCGGGTGTATTCAACTGCTCACATTATTGAGCACGGACAGAAAATACTGGTGAGTTGGTTTTGCTTTTTGACATTTCTACTTTAATTTTTCTGGATTGTAGTTTGATAAATTTTATAAATACACAATATTTCTTTTTTACTTCTCATCAGTATTAAAAATAAAATATGACTCAACGTGCTAGGTTGAATGAATTAAACGCATCCCAAGAATCCTAGTTTGCGGATTAATAAAGTAAGTCTTCTTTAATAAAATTTCCGTGTGAAATGATATGGAAACATAGGTAAGACTCCAAAGTCCGATGATAACGCCAAATTCCGATGTTCTGCAGGAAACCCCGATGCATGCATGGTTTGTTATCGCATATAAGTTATGTAGCAAACCAGACAAGATATACTTATAAAGTTACATAAAAGTATAGTGTAAATAGAGCATATAAAATCAGTAGTATTATTTTTTGTATTATTTATCATATTCATTAATTAAGAACTATCCGAATCAAAAACGCTTTTTTTTTAACTGACCTCTACGACTAAATGACATCAAATTTGCCAAAAAAAAAAAACAAACAAACAAACAAAAAAACTACCCTCAAAATCATTTCGTTTGTGGATATTGATACAGCTATGCCCATCATAGTACATCGTCTAAAAAATGATTTATTTATATCCATGTACTCAGCAGTTTTATTCAACTTTTTTTTATCGAGATGCATGTACGTGAAACAATTAATTTTGCTTAATTTCTATGCAGGGTACCAACGTTGAAATTAAGAAAGTTTTTGTGTACTGTACACTGTAGCTACGACCCTGGAGAATATTATGATTACATGTTTGAACGTTTGAACACTATGTAATTATGAAACGTAAAATAATTACATGTGTACTGTTCAAAATTTGAGTAATATTTTGTATGCAAACTGTGTTTAAAAAAAACAATCGGTATATAAGTTTTTTTGTGGAGGCTGAAGTTTTTGTATACTTTCTTGAATTTCTTTCTCAACTTTATTAATTGTATATAGCATTTGTTCTGTGTGAAGTTAGTGTACTTTACCCTAGTCTCGAAAACACTTTACCCTAATTGCAGAATACGTGCAGAATAATCGAAGCGTATATGCCTATCGCCATCTTGGACTAGGGTAACGCACTATACCCTAGTCCTTTTCTACACAGTGAGTATTCACCTCACTCTCTAGGCTAAGTAACTTTTGCATTTCAAGATGGCTAAATCGTCGTACCGAGTGAAAAACAGCAGTAATTATTATAACCCCGCTTGAAAAGTGGGAGGGTACATAGTAATCGGAATGTCTGTCTGTCTGTACGTCTCTCTGCCCACCTGTTACTCTACCCATTTAAAATGGTACCCATTTCTTATCCGCAACTCCTCTTATACCACTAAGTGAAATTCAATGAAACATTCACAGAATCTTTACTACATATTGCCATTGTGCACCTCCTATTTTACTTTTTTATCCTATACATAGTTTGGGTTTCCCACAGCAAAACATGGACACTGCCATTACATTCATATGGGCGGGGATATCATTTAGTGATCTCATTGCTCACATTACCTCTAGTTTAATTATATTAAACAATGATAAAATGACACAAACGCATTGACAATATATGACTGCTCCTCTTTATTTGCTAATGTAAAAGCAAAAAAAAACAATGTAGAAGGGGTGTTTAAATAATTGAGCAGTTGTATTTACTACTACTTTAAATTTCTTATTTTACTGTTAATCACCTTTTTTCAACTTTCAATTTTATTTTTCGCGAAATTACCGGTACGCGAGACGGCTTGCTTTAGAAAATTTCATCTTCGCGTATAATAAGGCAGTTGTAGTTGTTTTCAATACAGGAGTTCGAAGTTGCATGATAATACTTTGTTCTTTGGGCTCCTAGCATAGGTTCTGTCAAAGTGATTTTATATGTTCTTATAAATGCTGTCAAATCCATATTGTCTTCTTGAAAGAAGCGCATCTCCTTTAAATCCCTCTGTTTGTCTTTCATCTGGCTCTGAATATAATTAAGTAAAAAGCACTAAATTTAGAAGTACGTTGTTGGAAATTCCTCTATGTTTCTTTCATTTTCCGTTGAATTTCGTAAATGAACAGTACCAACCTCAGAAATACGTTGAAAAAGGCAAGAAACAGATATGTTGCCTGCCACTATACTTAAGCATTATAGCATGCATAGGAGGATATAGAAAATGTATAAAATACAGTTTATATTGTAATAAAATAGAATGCATACATGACTTTAGTTTTCTACAATTAACTGGCTTTATTTTTCGCGAATCGTACCGTCGAATCAAGAAATGATTGATTACAGCTGCGGAAAAGGTCGTTTCGACAATACCTTGGCAGGATTGCCTATTTTTAAGGTGGTGTACATGTTTTATTAACTGTTTTCTTTTGGTAGCCAGTGTAGCACCAGTTGTAGCTATAACCATGAGTAGAGCAGGTGTCTGAAGGTTGACAGCAGTAGTTCCAGTATTGTGTGTCGGTATAACACCAGTAGTAGCCCTTTTTGCCGTCCTCTTGGTGCATACCGCAAGGGAACTCCGCCAGACATCGTTGGTTACCAATGGTAACATCTCCGCCATTTCCACAGTATTGCCAATTATTGCCACTTTTACACCACATGTAATCTGTATTTTTATTGAATCCACACGTGTCCGTGCAGCAGTAGTCCCAGTTGTCCTTGAAGTCCACATAGCACCAACTGTATGATTTACCTTGATTATAGCCACAGCGGTTGTCACTTCTACAAAGTGTGTTACCCGCTGTAAAGCTGTCCGCCCTATAGGTTGTACAAAGCAAACTTTCTGCCCTAATATCTTGACAAAAATCTGTAAGATTAACTTTGGGAATTACGTTCAGGTCCGAAAAGTTTATCAGATATCCAGGGTTATAGTACGGGTTCTCTGGATCAAGAGGTTTGGACATTGGTGTTCCGAAACATGTGGTTACAGCGCACGTTCTAACTTTATCTGCGACACTTTCAAACACCGTGCAACTACTGGCGGAGTTTTGGTTTCCAGAAAAGTATGTGTTCATCCATTCCAGCGGATGCTGCGCAGAATTTGGTTAATTCGTTCACCAATGCTATGGTCATTGCTCTCTTGCCCGTGCTTTTGCATGAACAACATATATCACCAAGACATTCAACCATGCAGCCTTGGAAGGTATCTTCTAATTTGCAGACGTGAGTATTGGGGTCGTCCTTTATTTGTGATTTGATCATTTTCTCTACGTAAGGGTCTTTGTAAATTTCATCTGCCAGTTCTGTGCGTATATTTGATACAGTGTCATCTGGGCGCTGGCATCTTTGTCTGTAAACCGTGATGCTACTGTTCTTTAGATAAATTCGACTCTGGTTATTTCTTTGTGGGGTCATATACGGCAAGCCACTGTTTGTTCCTTCCACAGTGTATGCAACAACACGATATTGTACGTTGGAGTAAGGCTGAAGATTAAATCGACTTAAAATCATGTTTGTGCAATTTGGACAAGGCATTATCCATGAATACAAAAGCATGAAGTTTGGTGGCCGGCCATTTCTGTTACGATAGGCGTTCCACAAGCTGTCAAGATTATCCAAGATTCTTGCTTCAGCATGTACCATTGTACCTGCGACATTTTCCGGCCTTGTAGATACATAATTTCCAAAATCAGCAACATTGTTTGGAGAAATAGCGTACCTATTGTCAATGATTGGATCTCCGTTTTGATTTTTTGGCTGAAAGTCCCGAGGAAAGTCGTTAAGACTGTCAATGTTGGTCATGAACAGAACTCCAAACTGACTCCTGTTGTCCGGACGTTGTCGATAGAAGAACATTATAATGTTCATAAGAAAAGTCGCCCACCACGGAACATATTGTATTCCTTTGCCAGGAACAGAGACGCGATTATCATCGGGAATCTCAAATAGAGCTACATCGGGGAGCACTTTCTTGTTTTGTGGTGCAAATAGCAATCTCTCGTCCTCTTCGGTGATAGGTTTCTGGATCAATGGTGACTTTCCATCAGCAAGATGTGCTGTCCATGTAACTGTCAGTAGTACAAGGATTGTATATCGGTAAAAGGCAGATTCCATTTTCCGAATTGCGGAATGTAAGCCTAAGAAAACAACGAAGGTGATAGAAAAATTGTATGAATTATTAAGAAGTGTGTCAACATTAAAAACTATTAATAAGAGGTTGCTCGTTACGATTTTTTAAATTCATCAGTGTTTTTTGCTTAAATAGCTCCTTCACGATAACTTCAATACTATTTTTTTGCAAGGCAAATGAAGTATGTTTGTTGAAAAAAATTAAATGACTTTTATTTAACAAATGGTTTATGTTATATTTCATCAAAATATATCATTTGCCATGCAAAAGAGTAGTAAAACACTTACCGTGAAAAGGTCTATTAGTACTAGACGTATATAATTTTTAACTATAACGCTTTATGTTTGTATTCATAATACTAAATGGAATGCAAAACTTACTTTTTTGGAAGTTTTTATCAAAAACTCAACTGCATTGCCTCTTTGAATTTTTGTTCTGTTCGTATCCAATGGACTCAAGAATTTATAGTCCTTTGGTTTGCACACGAAAATATGCATTGAACAGTACTGCATTGATTTGTACTTTATAACCGCATTTTGGGGTTCTGTTCATACCAAAAAGACTCCAGACATTAGTCCAGTGATATGCACACGAACATATGCATGGAATAGAACTGCATTGATTTGTTCCACACCGCAAAATATACTTAAACAAGTAAAACACTCTATAGACAAAAATAATAATGTTGCTCATCGATAAGGAGACAAACCACGATATTTAGTTCAAGGGAGATAACGCAAGTGAAATCGGAAATATGCTTTTAAAACATCTGATTAATAGTTTTTTGATAAATGCATGTCTCTTCTTTATTGGCGACATATCGGATGCCAAACGGATGTATTTCTTGCTTTGAAAGCACAACAGAACAATAATCATTGACCTGCATTATCACGAGAACAGTGTTATTTTGCGAAATATCGCTGACGGAATTAGCTGATTTTGACAGTAATATCTAAATATTTTCTCAGTTTATCGATATACTTTTTAAACTAATTTTTGCATAAAGCATCTATGGATAAAGAGGGTACAAAATTGTAAATTTTATGATTTTCCCTGAACCTTGGGGCCTTGGGGGGTCAAAAAACCACAAAAATTAATGCAATCTTTAAAATGTTCCTCTTTACTCCTTGATATCAATTAGTCAAACTGTTGGCATGATTGTAATCATCATTGAGTTTTCTACCAAAATTGTGAAATTCATGGCCCCAGGATCAGGGGTTCTAGTGCTAGGAACGTGCACGGCTAAAAGATTATACGCTGTATTGTTAAATGCATTATTTCTTTTTAAATCTTTTTCTTCGCTCCTGGGTATTAAATAAACTAACCAAGTACAATGTTATGTTAAATAAAGCATGCAAAATTCTGAATTTTATGGCCCAGGGTCTACGAGTCTAGTGTTAGGGTGGGGCTATATAGATTAAACACTTTACTGTGAAAATGCATTATTTCTTTGAAAATCTTCTTTACTGCTCCTGTGTATTAAATAGTTAATATATAGTTACATATTTATAATGAGCAATAATGTCTCTTTCAAAATTCAGAATTTTATGGCCCCTTGGTCACGGGTTCTGGTCTTAGGGCGGGGCTCTATTAATTGTAAAGTGAAAAAACAATTTTTAAGAATCCTCTTCTTTGCTCCTGGGTATTAAATAAACTAACAAAGTACATACGAGTTATCATAAGCAAGAATGTGTCTTCGAAAATTGTGAATTTCATAGCCTCTTTGTCGGGGGGTTCTGGTGTTAGGGTAAGGCTCTATTGATTGAATAGCGAAAATGCATTAATTGTTTAAAAATATTCTTCTCTGCTCCTGAGTAATCAATAAATTAACCAAGTACATAACTATGTTGAAAAAAGGCTCCAAATTTTAGAATTTCATATTATATAGTGATAATGTTATGTTAATCTTTTAGTGAAAAATCATGGAATCTTTGAATTTTTTTTTTCCCTTTGTCCCTGGGTTTTATATTAATGATCTAAGTACTTATTTATGATGAAAAAAGGGACCTCTTTTAAAATAGTGAATTTCAGAGCCCCCGGAGTTAAGGGTACTGGGCAGCTACATAAAATTAACCTTTAAATTTCAAAATTATTCTCCTGTTTTCATTCAAAATTGTAAGTTTACTCAATTAGATTAAAAACAGATCCTCGATCCGGTCCTTTATTCTTTTAATGTCGATAAGACAAATAATAAAGGAGCGGATCAAGGATCTAATGTTGATCAGATTGTAAGATTACTTGCTTTGTCAGTGAGAGATTACAAGTGTCTGGGTTTTGTTTTAAAGTAAGGGGGTTAGTGTCACTGTGTTTGTTTGTCTAGACCTTAGCTTATTTTTTTGACACCCCGACTACAAATAATGAGGTGTGAACTATCTATTGTTTTACTTTTAGAATTGGTACTACCAATGAAGACAAACAATATTATTAGAACAAGCTTTTAAAAATCGTATTCCAAGCAAAAAAATATGTACCATTAGTTTACTTAAGGGCACATGTAATTTAAATGATTATTAATAAGAGTTCTTAACGTATTTTTTGAGATAATACATATAAATGTACTGCCAACATGCAGAATATCAAATACATTTCAAAATAAAATACTGAATTGTTTCAATTATTTCAATAATTAAAGTAACTAGAGCCGAGCTCGTTGCAAAGCAACGAGTAGGTCTTCCGTCCTGTTTGACCGGAAGTAACTTTTATTTAAAAAAAAGAGTAATGAAGTCCAAAAATGGGTTAATCCTCCAAATCTATGTTAAGTATAGCAAAATTAATTAATTCTTTTGACGAAACCGGAGAATTTTTAGCTAGTGAGACAACCAAAAACCTGTCAAAAACGGCTGCACTGTACTTATCGACCGGAAGTGACGTCGTCGGACGTATTTTGACGACCCCATTAGATAAAGCTTGATATTTTGAACAACTTTGCTTCTTTGATGCATAACAAATTCTCAATACTATTTGAGATATCTGGAAAAAACTGTTGGCCCCTCTAGGTCCCTTAATTTAGGGGTCAGCCCTTTTTTTCGACATATCATATGAAATTAATTCTGCACAAATTATGTTTATGTATTTTAACAAAATATTTTTAGTTTAGAAGACAAAAAGAAAAATAAGTAATTTTTACTATATAGCGCCATTTTGAATACAGAAATCGAAAAACAAACAACTTCAACCCTTCTATTATCAAAAATCAGTAGAATTTCTGCTCCAGCTTTAGCCGTCTCTGAGCCTTTGTCTGGAAACGAAAGCCTATAAATTTTCCTTTAAAGGAAAATAAACCGGAAGTGGCTTTTTGAAATTTTATAACTATTTAAAAATTTGAGCGAAAAAATAATTAAATATGAAGAATCATATCCAAGGTCGAAAGAAATAATTAATTCTTTTGCAAACCTTTTAGCAGAAATCAAGTCTCCACTGTTCATGGTAGAGTATTCCCTATTTAAATGAGCATTTAGTAACTATGGTAGGTCTTATATATGAAATGAAATGAAAAACACATCATTTAAATTAATTACACTGAATCTAAAAGGACACATTCAAATGGTGGATATCATTAACATTACAATGTAACATTTATTTAAAATAATTGACTTAGATATTTGAGATAAAAAACTTCGAAGTTGTCGATTATTTTTCAATTGCATCTTTGAATTTAAAGCAACCGACAACAATAGATTCAAGGACAAATTTGATTATAATTTATAATTAATCGCTTATACATGTACAACATTCCTTTAGGTTATCTATTACTAATCAATTACGTTCCTAACAAAACGCCAAATATTAATTTATTACGATTGTCTTAGTATGCAAGAGCAAATTAATGCACCAGCTGCATTCTGTTTACTTTTTCGTAAATCTACAAAAGAGAAGTGGGAAGATTAATGCAAGGATTTAATAAATAGTCTTAATAAGGCATAAGCGAAATTTTCAAATGACTTAGATTGCAGAAAATTGTAAGGTATATAACAAGATATTTTATAAAAACCATTCAATTTCAATGTTTTTAGCATTCCTGTCTTAAAATGTTCTTGAATTTTAATTGCATTATGGTGACTTTGTTTTTTTTTTTAAGACTGTTTCGTTGTACACACAACGATTGCTTGGGCAATACGTTTCTTAAACAATGCTTTAAGATTGCTTGGAAGATTATTTCAGAAAATGTTGACTTTGCAAAATCTATCACTGTCTACTTATATATATGTATAATTATCTACATTGTTATTATGTAATTATAATAACCTTTATAACCATTGCAGCTGTTTTAAATTTTAACTCTTTAACGCTTTGGGTAAAAGCGTCTCCTTTAGAGTCGCGAAGTAGGTAGTCAATCCTTTCGTCGCGGGTTCAAATCCTACTGTGGGACGTGGAGACCGGTTCGGATGAGACTGTATAAACTGAGGTTCCATGTCGCAGTATGTGCGTGCCCGAAAAAGACCCCTCCCTGCTCAATGGCCTTGAGTGCCGAGCATAGGACAAAATTGGCAGCTGTCCACCGGCAAGTGGTGGCATCTCCATATCATTGAAAAATTCTCGAGAGGGACGTTAAACAACATACAATCAATCCATCAATCAATCTTTGGGTAAATTTGGGTAAATACCCCAAAGTGTAACATTTGGACGGACGGACATACCGATTACTATATACCCTATCGCTTTTCAAACGGGGGTATAATGAATTATGTTTTAGCTGTAAACACTTAATTGAACTGTCAGGTAATAATTTACCCACAGGAAGTGATGTGAAATGTAACACTCTATTTTTCAAGTACACACATAGGGTCATCAAAGGGTCATCATAGGGTCATCTTGACCGTGCTACCAGCTTTAGCATAGACAACAGCTGTATAAGTTCATTAGATTTATTAAAGACTTGAAAAAGCATATACAGTCTTGTATTATTCTTAATTGTAAGGAACATAAGCGGATGACATTAAATGGTCGATATGTATAAATGTACAATCAAAAATAGGGTCCAGGAGGGATAGCTTGCAAACCAACTAATAAGTACCGGGCCAAATCAGTGGTCCAGTGTTGGTCACAGTTGCCTGGGATCTCAAATTTAGGTACTAGACATCTGGGACCGAGAGTGTCTGTATACCCTGCTTTTGGTGATTGCATCTGGTCAGCAGATACAAGTATTTCAGCACACTTGGCTAAACTTCCTACTTGGCTTTTTACTTGACTTTTATGATAAATTGTCATCGCCTTGGATACTTTGTAGATTTGTCTACCCAACAATGTGCCCCACCAACTTATCTGCTGGCTGTGCAGGGAAAAAACGAGCCAGATATGTTCACAACCATACCACTTATCCCCCCCGGACCCGCCACAGACATCGATATGATGCTCCCCCATTACTTTATATTAGGAGACAATTTTTCCTTCCATTTAGTGAGGACCACAATTCACTTTGTTGGTTATTTAAGAAAATTCTATTGCCAATCTCTGAGAGATAGGTACCATAAAGTAGGAAATAGCTTGCACATAAAGCAACTAAAAAAGTTTTCGCACTCAAAAACCACAAAATATGGTCAGGAAAATATTTGTGGCATTCTGAAAGGCTTTCAAATAAAGGATTGCTAAAATACAGGCCGAAACAATACATTGTAAACACTTCTTATCATTAAAAATAATTTTTGATGCTTTATTTTATCATTTTATATACGAGCAATATTACGTTTCTTCCATAAAAATTACATCATTCTGATTTGTTTTTTCATAAGAAATATTTTGATATACAAAATATTTATATAGAACCAATAATTTTCACAAAAGCAGCATTGTCCACGAACTTTTTGGACACCCCTTGTACATGTCTACTAAGATATGCTTCCACTTTAAATTAAGAAAGTCTACACTTCGCCAACTGTTAAAACACAATAAATTCCTGCTGAACCAATCGTTTTTGCTCAAACCACTACTATACCCCAACGAAAAAAAAAAACAAGTAGAGGTACTGTGAGCAATGGGCTCACTAAATGATACACCGCCTCCCATATGTGTATAAATCGTCGTACCGAGTGAAAAACAATTATTTTTACCCCGCTTGTAAAGTGGTAGGGTAAATAGTAATCGGCATATTCGTCCGTCTTTTTGTACGTCCGTGTACCCGTCTTTTACGCTTTTGGGTATCCATTTCTTATCCACAGCTCCTCTTATACCACTGAGTGAAATGAAATGAAACATTCAAAGAATCTTTACTACATATTGCCATTTTGCACCTCCTATTTTACTTTTTTATCCGATACATATTTTGGGTTTCCCAAAGCATAGCATGGACACTGCCATTTCATTTATATGGGCGAGGGTATCATTTTGTTAGCTTATTGCTCACATTACGTCTAGTTTAATTATATTAAACAATGATAAAATGACAGAAGCGCATCGAAAATATATGGCTGCTCCTCTTCATTTGCTAATGTAAAAGCAAAAAACAAAAAACAAAAAACAAAACAACAACAAAACAAAACAAAACAATGTAGAAGGAGTGCTTAAATAATAGAGCAGTTGTATTTATTTGTACTTTGAATTTCTTAATTTACTGTAAATCACCTTTTATTTTCAACTTTAAACTTTATTTTTCGCGAAATTACCGGGCTTTCTTTATAAAAAGTAGTTGTAGTTGTTTTCAATACAGTTGTTCGAAGTTGCATGAGAATACTTTGTTCTTTGGGCTGTCAAATCCATATTGTCTTCTTGAAAGAAGCGCATCTCCTTTAAATCCCTCTGTTTTTCTTTCATTTTGCTCTGAATATCGTTAAATGAACAGCACTAGCTTTAGAAGCACGTTGTTGGAAATTCCTCCATGTTTCTTTGATTTTGCGTTGAATATCGTACCAACTTCAGAAGCAGTTATGTAAGTTTTGTTAGTACAAAAAGGTAACAAACAGATAATATGTTGCCTGCCATTATACTAAAGCATTATAGCATGCATAAGAGGAGATATAAAATACATAAAATACAGTTTATATTGTGATAACAAAGAATAGTATACACGATTCTAGGCTTTCTGCAATCGACGATTTTTTTCAATATCCTACCGCCGGATTCAAAATAAGTGATGACATCTGCCAATAAAGGTAGTTTCGACAATTCTGTGGCACGATTCCCTATATTTTTACGGTGGTGTGCAATATTGATACTTTGTTTGCTTTTTGTATCCAGTGTAGCACCAGTTGTACTCATAACCATGAGTAGAGCAGGTGTCCCAAGGCTGACAGCAGTAGTCCCAGTAAGTGCCAGTATAACACCAGTAGTAACTTGCCTTGCCGTTTTCTTGGTGCATGCCGCATGGGAACTCAGCCAGACATAGTTGGCCACCAATGGTAATATTTCCACCATTTCCACAGTATTGCCATCTGTCGCCACTTCTACACCACATGTAATCTGTTTTTTCATTGAATCCACAAGAGCCCGTGCAGCAATAATCCCAGTCTCCATTGAAGTTCACATAGCACCAACTATATGAGGTACCTTGATTAAAGCCACAGCGGTTGTCACTTCTACAACGTGTGTTACCTGCTGTAAAGCTGTCCGCCCTATAGGTTGTACAAAGCAAACTTTCTGCCCTAATGTCTTGACAAAAATCTGTGAGATCAACTTTGGGAATTGTGTTCAAGTCAGAAAAGTTGATCAGGTATCCAGGGTTATTGTACGGGTTCGTTGGATCCAAAGGTTTTGACATTGGTCTTCCGAAACATGTGGTTGCAGCGCACGCTCTAACTTTAGCTGCCACACTTTCAAACACCGTGCAACTACTGGCAGAGTTTTGGTTTCGAGAAAAGTATGTGTTCATCCATTCCAGCGGACACGTTGTTATATCGGATACTGCGCAGAATTTGGTCAATTCGTTCACCAATGCTATGGTCATTGCTCTCTTGCCCGTGTTTTTGCAGGAACAGCATATATCACCAAGACATTCAACCATGCAACCTTGAAAGGTGTCTTCTAATCCGCACATGTGAGTATTGGGGTCGTCTTTTACATGTATTTGTGATTCAATAGTTTTCTCAAGGTAAGCGTCTTCGGAAATTTCCTGTGCCAGTTTTGTGTGCATATCTGATACAGTGCCATTTGGGCGCTGGCATCTTTGTCTGTAAACCGTGATGCCACTGTTCTTTAGATTATTTCGACTTTGTGCGTTACTTTGTGGGGTCATATACGGTAAATCGCTGCTAGTTCCTTCCACAGTGTATGCAACAACACGATATTGTACGTTGGAGTAAGGCTGGAGGTTAAATCGACTTAAAATCATGTTAGTGTAATTTGGACAAGGCATTATCCATGAATATAAAAGCATAAAATTTGGTGGCTGACCATATTTGCTCCGATAGGCGTCCCACAAGCTGTTAAGATTATTCAGTATTCCTTTTTCAGCATGTATCATTGTACCTTCGATATTTTCCGGCCTTGTCGATACATAATTTCCAAAGTCAGCAACATTGTTTGGCGAAATGGGGTACCTGTTATCAAGGACTGGATCACCGTTCTTATTTTGCGGTTCGAAATTAAGAGGGAAGTTTTTGAGATTGTCAATGTTGGCCATGAACAGAACACCAAATTGGCTCCTGTTGTTTATTCGTTGCCGATAGAAGTTCATTATAATATCCATCAGAAAAGTTGTCCACCATGGAATATATTGTATGCCTTTTCCAGGAACAGCAACGTGATTATCATCGGGAATCTCGAATTGATCTACATTGGTAGGCACTTTCTTGTTTTGTGGCACAAAAACCAATCTTTCATCCTGCTGAGTGATAGGTTTCTGGATCAATGGTGACTTTCCATCAGCAAGATGTGCTGTCCATGTAGCTGTCAGTAGTACAAGGATTGTATACGAATAAAAGGCAGTGTCCATTTTCCGAATTGCGGAGTGTAAACCTAAAAACAATGAATGTGATAGAAATATTGAGTGAATTATTAAGATATGTGTTAATATTAAAAACTAGGAATAAGACTAAGAGGTTGCTCGTTACGATTATATTCATAAATGTTTTTGCTTAAATAGCTCTTTCTTTTACTACTTTTTTGCAAGGCAAATGAATTATGTTTGTTGAAAAAAATTAAATGACGTATATTAAACAAATGGTTTATGTTATATTTCATCAAAATATATCATTTGCCTTGGAAAAGAGTAGTAAAACAGTTATCGTGAAAAGGTCTAGTAGTACAAGTATATAATTTTTAACTATAACGCTTTATGTTTGTATTCATAATACTTAATGGAATGCAAAACTTACTTTTTTGGAAGTTTTTATGAAAAAATCAACTGCATTGCCTCCTTGAATTTTTGTTCTGTTCGTAATCAATGGACTCCAGAATTTATAGTCCTTTGGTTTGCACACGAAAATATGCATTGAACAGTACTGCATTGATTTGTATTTCTTGACCGTTTTTTGTGGTTCTGTTCGTACCAAAAAGACTCCAAACATTAGTCCAGTGGTATGCACACGAACATATGCATCGAACAGGAATGCATTGATTTGTTCCACACCGCAAAAAAATACTTAAATAAGCAAAACACTATATAGACAAAAATAATAATGTTGTTCATCGATAAGGAGAAAAACCACGATATTTAGTTCAAGGGAGATAACGCAAGTGAAATCGGAAATATGCTTTTAAAACATCTGATTAATAGTTTTTTGATAAATGCGTCTCTTCTTTATTGGCGTATATCGGATGCCAAACGGATGTTTTTCTTGCTTGCAAAGCACAACAGAACAATAATCATTGACCTTCATTATCACATGAATAGTGTCATTTTGCGCTATTTCGCTGAATTAGCTGATTTTGACAGTAATATCTAAATATTTTCTAAGTTCATCGATATTTTTTATAACTAATTTTCGCAAAAAGCATCTATGGATAAAGAGGGTAAAAAAAATTGTGAATTTTATGGTCCCTGAACCTTGGGACCTGGGGTGGGACAAAAACCACTATAATTAATGCAAACTTTAAAATGTTCTTCTTTACTCCTTGACATCAATTATCAAACTGTCGGCATGATTGTAATCATCATTGAGTCCTCTACCAAAATTGTAAAATTTGTGGCCCCAGGTTCAGTGGTTCTAGTGCTAGTAACGTGGCTAAATAGATTATACACTTTATTGTTAAATGCATTATTTCTTTATAAATCTTTTTCTCTACTCCTGAGCATTAAATAAACTGACCAATTCCATGTTATGTTAAAAAAAGCATGCAAAATTCTGAATTTCATGGCCCCAGGGCCAGTGGGTCTAGTGCTAGGGTCGGGCTATATAGATTATACACTGTACTGTGAAAATGCATTATTTCTTTGAAAATTTTCTTCATTGCTCCTGTGTATTAAATAAACTAACAAAGTACATAGTTATAATGAGCAAGAATGTCTCTTTCAAAATTGTGAATTTTATGGCTCCTTGGTCACAGGTTCTGATCTTAGCGCGGGACTCTATTAATTGTATAGTGAAAATACATTATTTTTTTTAAATCTTCTTCTTTGCTCCTGGGTACTAAATAAACTAACCAAGTACATGGTCCTCATAAGCAAGAATGCATCTTCGAAAATTGTGAATTTCATAGCCCATTTGTCGGGGGTTCTGGTAAGGTTCTATTGATTAAATAGTGAAAATGCATTAATTCTTTAAAAATATTCTTCTCTGCTCCTGAGTAATCAATAAATTAACCAAGTACATAAATATGTTAAATAAGGCTCCAAATTTGAGAATTTCATATCATATGGTGATAATATTATGTATAGTGAAAATGCATGGATTATTTAAAATTCTTTTTTTTCTTTGTCTCTGGGTTTTATGTTAATGATCTAAGTACATATTTATGGTGAAGAAAGGCGCCTATTCCAAACTAGTTAATTTCAGGGCCCAAAGGTTAGGGGTGCCGGGGGTAGTGGTTACGTAAAATTAACCTTTAAATTTCAAAATCATTAATCTTTTATTGTCGATAAGACAAATAATAAAGGAGCGGATCGATGAAGGATTTGATGTTGATCAGATTGTAAGCTTACTTGCTTTGTCAGTGAGAGGTTATAAGTGTCTGGGGTTTTTTTTAAGTAAGGGGTTAGTGTCACTGTGTTTGTTTGTCTAGACCTTAGCTTTTTGTCTTTGATACCCCCAAATACAAATAATGAAGTGTGAACTACCTATTGTTATACTTTTAGAATTGATGGTACCAATGAAGACAAACAATATTATTAGAACAATAAATAGCTTTGAAAACTCTTATTCCAAACAGAAAAAATGTACCATTGGTTTACTTAAGGGCACCTTTAATTTAAATGATATTATTCATAAGAGTTCTAAAGAGTATAACAGTTCTAAACGTATTTTTTCGAGAGAAAACATAGAAATGTTCTTTATGTACTACCAACATGCAGAAAGTCCGAATACATTTCAAAATAAAATACTGAATTATTTTTACAATTAAAAAATGGAGGACAATATCCAAGGCCGAAAGAAATAATTAATTCTTTGGCATCTCTGTAAACCATGTCTCCACTGTTCATGGCAGAGAATCCCCCATTTAAATGGGCATTTAGTAACTATGGTAGGTTTTAAATATGAAATTAAAGCAAATAATATCATTTAAATTAAAGAGGATGGGTGGTCGTGGCCATTTTTAGACTATTTCTATCTTCTTTAGAGGAAGAGGTCAATATTAAGATATACAAAAATGATCAAATTTTAAAACTAATATATATATAATTTTTCTTTGTCAAATGATAGTTGACAACTAAAGATATCATATCTAAAATTTTAAGTTAGATCTGGTGGTTAATTTTTTGTTAATTTGTTGACCCCCCCCCCCCCGCCTCCTTAATTACAGTAAATCTGAAAGAACACATTCAAATTTGGTGGATATCATTAACATTACAATTTAACATTAAAATAATTGACTTTGATATTTGAGGTAGAACACTTGGAAGTTGTCGATTATTAATCAATTGCATCTTTGAATTTAAAGTAACCAACTAAAAAAGATTAAAGGACAAAAGTGATTGTAGTTTATTATTAATCGCTTATACATATACAGCATTCCTTTACGTTATTTATTACTAATCGATAACATTTTTCAATAATCGTTCCTTACAAAACGCTAAATATTAATTTCTTACGATTGTCTAAGTAACTATGCAAGAGCAACATAATGCACCAGCTGCATTCTGTTTACTTTTTCGTAAATCTACAAAAGTGAAGCAGACAGATTAATGCAAGGGTTTATTCAATAGTCTTAATAAGGCATAAGCGAAATTTTCAAATGATCTAGATTGCAGAAAATTGTAAGGTATATTACAAGATATTTGATAAAAAAAACATTCAATTTCATTGCTTTTTAAATAGCATTCCTGTGTTAAAATGTTCTTGAATTTTAGTTTCATTATGTTGACTTTGTCTTTTCTCGTTGTACACACAACAATCACTTGGTCGAGCTTAATACGTTTCTTAAACAATGCTTGAAGATTGCATGGAAGATTCCAAAAAATGTTGACTTTTCTGCCATTAATATTGCAACTGTTTGAAATTTTACCTCCTTTTTAACTCCTTGAAAGCTATTCTCAAGTTCGGTTGCACTTCGGTTAAATTTTCTTTGGGTAAAAGCGTCTGCTTTGGAGTAGCGAAGTAGGGAGTCAATCCTTACGTCACGGGTTCGAATTCCACTGTGGGACGTGGAGACCGGTTCGGATGAGACCTATAAACCGAGGTCCCTTGTCGCAGTAGGTGCTGGCCCGAAAAAGACCCCTCCCTGCTCAATGGCCCCGAGTGCCGAGCATAGGACAAAATTTGCAGCTCTCCACCGGCAAGTTATGGCGTCTCTATATGAGTGAAAAATTCTCGAGAGGAACATTAAACAACATACAAACAATCAATCAATTAATCAATCTTTGGGTAATTTTTTATTGTTACCTTCAACTGCATGTGGCATTAATATAATAGAGGTTTGTGTTTGTTGGTACAAATGTTTTTTTCTTCACATCTTCGCAAACAAAAAAAAAATAATTGTAATTATATATGACCCATTTAATTGACTGTGCATAGCAATTCAACCCAAAAGAATACATTTACTTGAGGATGTCGACGTTTCATTCATTATTTTTTTTTCAATTCCGGATCTATCAAGATAAAGAACTATTTAAAGTTTTGAGTACTGGAATTTGCTAAATCTGATTCGCAAATTTTCATAAAAGAAAACTTTTTAATAAACCGTTTGTTAAAATATTCTATTGCGAAAGCTAAATCGACGTGTGAAGAAATAATTTATCTCGTATTGTGACTTTAAATTTGCGTTAACAAGTACTGCCATGGGTTGTAATTTGTCTGACTTCGTTTATATCATTTGTTAGGCCTGTTTTTTTTTATTCTTAATTGACTACTGAATGGTCCGTCTACCTGGTCAATACAAAGGACTAACGGCGGACGTGATCTGTCAACAAGGGATGCTTACCTCTCCAAGGCACCTGATCCCACCTTTAGAATTTCCTGAGGTCCGTGTTTAACGCCCTCATCACAGATTTGTATTGTTTATAGATTTTTCAGATCAATTAATGTTCATTGTTTTCACATGTTTTATTACATGTAAGTGACAATGCCTTTCCATTTTACAATGCATATATGTTATTTTACATATGCGTATATGTACATGTATGTGCAAGCCTTTTTGCGGTGTACTTGAATTAGCGAAAGTTTATTTCCACGAAAAGAGCTAAAAAGGATACACATCTAAATTTAATGACTTTAAAGTATATGCCACACTTATTGATGTTTTGTCGTCAATTTAAGAAACATGCTATTCACTATTATGTTCTTTAGTATTTTTATTGTTTTGTTCAGAAAAAATCAGTTATATTAAATGAATATCAATCTGTTCATGACATTAATGTTGGTTTTATTTAAAAAAAAATTGTGACCTACATGTATTCAGGTTGTTAGCTTGAAACCAGCGTGGGATTTTCGAATTTCCTATGGACCTGCGCGTCAAAAACTCATGTCGATAAGAAAACAATGTAAAAGTCTATTGAAGCAGAAAGCAGGAATTTAAATATAAATGAAAGTTAGAAAATCTCCCCAATAATTTAGCTGAGACCAAGAAGAATTATCATTTAATTTGTTGCTGCCACAACATGGACTTATGGTATATTCTTGGATACGGGAAAGAGGCACTTTCTGCATTTGATACATTGGCCAAGGCCTTGGGTTATCAGAAGGCAGATGGTAAAAAAGAAGATATGAAGGAGCTTGTAAAGGCCTTAAGAATACTTCTGAAACCAACATTTTCACTGAGAATCGGCGGATTGTCAGGGATCGTTGCAGTATCAATGGCTGCGTATGGAGCTCATGGTATTTTTTTTTTATCTTTGTACCCTTTTCACGATAAAACAAATATAAAAAAAGATAATAACATGTTATAAACAATTATTAAAAATTATTTGTAAAGTAAAGTTTTCGTTTTAAAAAGAGATGCATGATTATAAATTCGAAAGGGATAGGGCGGATAAGTTAAACAATGTTTCTTAACAGCTAAAGCAGTGATTTGTAAAGGTGAGGGGAGAAAATTCGCCAAAAACACAAAGATAAAAAACTGCTTCGTGGGAAGGAGTTTATGAGAAAACTTTATTTAGGACAAAGTGTTTTTTAAAGGAACAAAGTATAATGTGGAAGGACTTGTTGCTTTGTAACAAAACCAATCTTTCAATAAAAAATAAAATCAAGCAAAGCTAGAAAATTCCCTTTTAAAACCGAAAGAAAACACAATCCCTCTCACTCTCCGAACTACACGGTACGTCCTTGTTTGTCTAATATTTTAAATAGAAAAATTAAAATTTGCTTTTCATTACTAGCATCCTTATATTTCAAGATAAAAAAGAAAGTTTTAAAATTGATGAGTACTATGAAATAAAATATATCTGTTTTCAAAACAATCTAAAGTTTTTTTTTTTAATTTCAGTGTTTGCTTTTTTGTAAATTTTCTTTATTACATAAGTTGTTGATCTACATGTATAGAAAAATTTAAGTCAAATTCACGATATGTCTGAGGAAAAATTATGACAATTTTTGGGGGGTAAGCAAAATTGTTCTTATGACATGCAAGAACTGTTCTGTTTAGTTTTTAAGACATTGAGCTAAAAAAAAGCACTCTGACGAACTTTATGCTGAAAGCAAGAAGAAAACATAATAAAAGAAAAAACAAAGGGTTAATTTCAACAAAAAAAGAACAAAGAGTTACTTTCTTTATAACATTCGAGTTTAGTAATTCCATTATTAATAATTGGCATTCTTTATTTTGACAGTTCCTGATTTGCAAAATAACCTTCAACGTCGTCAGGTAAATATAAATTCGGGTTGATTTACTATGCATGGTAAATGGTCATGATTATAATAAATACACCAAAAAAAAAAAAAAAAACAATGTTAACCAAGGCAAAGCCGAGATCGACAATGGTTTTTTGAAGTGTGTAATAAAAATTTCAGCCAGGTGCAACACCTAATATGCTATACTGAATCCGATATTCATCGGTAGATCAGAATGTGAACAGTGTATACGTACAGTTAACATTTTTTTGGGGAATTTCACTTGTCGATTCTTGTTTCATTCTATCACGCTACATGACACGTTTTCATCATTCAGACAGAGAAAAAGCGTTTTAACACATGTTTCAAAAGAAACAGATTTAATTGATTTGCATGAAAAGTTTTGTATTGGAAAAAAGTCGGATTTCTATAAACCTTTGTTCACAGTCAACTGTAAAGGTTTGGTTACATAATTTTAAAAATGAATTACAACTTTAAGAAGCCTAATATGCATGACCATCTGATTATTACAACTTGGGTAAACATGCTTTGTACGAAATAAATGTGAGTCAACATTTTGAAATCAAAGCTTTAAAAGTTGAAGAAACTCATGTATTTATATCATAATCTTTCTTGCCTATTTATTTTAGAGATATTGATTGGCGAATACTATGGCCGATAGAGTCTAAGTGTAGTTTTGATTCTTTATATTTATGGAGCAATCAATATCTCCATAAAGGGAATTTTTCAGCTTAAGGTAGAACCTATGTCGGAAAAGTCTTTGTCACAAGATTTTTAAACTTTTTAAAATGATAAATTAGTACTTGCTTATCAATCAGTTAAAAGCTCATGATATGTTTCCTTGTTTTTAAATCTAGTACAGGCTGTGAAACTTGGTATGGTATTTACAGACTGCGACTTCACATTTCCAAATATTTTTAGGGGTACTTGTCATGAAAAATCACGAAAATACCTCTTCAAACATTGTCGTTTATAAACTTTATTAACTGAACAATATTAAACAATATTTTTTCAAGGATAATTTCTTTTTTATTCAAATGACATAAAAGATAAGGCCACCATTAAAAAAAATAATCAAATGAATTCTATTATTTTTAGTCAATCTTGCACCCTACATTTGCAAATATTTTTTAGAAATCTTTGTCACAATGTTTTCAATCTTTAATATGATGAAGAACATACCCAAATGATTACAAAAAGTGATTTAGATATATACCTTTCCCCTCTAACTAATAAGAGATAGGCTATTTACCGATACTCATATTCTTGACCTTTTTGCACTTAGGAAATTACATTGGATTTAATAATTAAATGACTGTTTGGGGTTACTTTCAGATTAAATATTTATCAGAAATTGTACATTTAATTTAAAAAGATCATATTTAATAGAAAAATTGTAATCAAACAACAAGAGTATGTATAAGTAACAAATAATTGTTAAAAAGAATACACATCATTTCATTATAGATATCGCAAAAATTTACACACGATCACACGATCTGCAACATGTACATCTTTGACTTAGACACATTTCATCAAGATATTACACTATATAGCTGGCAACTAAAGATTTCTTACGATTTTTGCATTCCTTCAAATTGGCCACAGACCATTCAAACTATTACGAAAGTTGTATACAGTGTAATTTCATTACACTAGATAGTGTTGGGTTTGTCAACTTCAGGTCTAGATCTAGTAAATGAGAGATGCCTATATATTTTCTCTTGTTCCAGAAATATAGTGCCATTAAGCATTATAAACCAAAAAAATATATGAATTGAATTAACATTGTTTTGGCATGATTGAATTCTATGAATATCAAAATGCAGTATTTTCTACCATTTCTATTGAAGCTGTCAAGTACGGGAAAAAGTGACATTGAATTAATTATGACGTCATAATGGATCAAGCACAGGTTAAACACATTCACCAGTTATGATGTCATACGACGTAGGTTCTACGTTAATAGAAAAAGTTAGTGGACATGTATCTCTTCAAATACTTCAGAATATGAATAAGTTTTTAACTCAAAAAAGATTATTTTTCCAATTACCACTTCATCTGAATAAGGAAAATTTCATAGTTTTTTCAAGACAATTCAACAAGAAAAAACTTAGTTTCCAAATAAATCTAAATTCAATATTTGAAAATTTACATCGATACTGCCGTCCTTCATTTTCTTGATCAACTGTTAAAATATCAAACGGTGAAGCTGACTTCATTATTTGCACAGCATAACTAAACTAAACTATGACGTCACACATTTGCTAAATAAACCTACAAAAGATTTCTGTAAAAACATGTATAAATACTTTCTGTGGTTCATGATTTACAAAAAAAACATACTATGTGCTGACTATGACCTGTTTTATATTATAAATCTTAATAAGATACGGTATTGTCTATGATGTCACTGACTCGTTGGACGCGTAGTTCCTAGGGAAACAGAAGATGGATTAATCTATTTTGTAATTTGTTAATATTTCCAAGAAAGTTCAAACCTTTTCAAATATTTTTATACAAGATGGTGAAGTAAAACAAACTGTCAAAAATTTATACAAGCACTGTGGTTTCAATCAGGTTTTCCACATTAATAATCAGAGACTATGACGTTGTGTCATTTGTCTCCTTAATAAATGAACACAGAAACGACATTGAAAAAGATACTGAAATGGAATGTTATGAAATAACCTGCTTTATACATAACAATTCTCTGCAATCTTGGTAATTTGAAAATTCAGATATCACGCTTTATCATTTCATTAAGGCTGTATACTCTTCTGTTTCTTCAGTAAAATTCTGCAAAAAATTTGTTACCTATTGTTTCTTTTATTGACTTTAGATTTACGAGAAAGGATACAAAATGCAGTTGCTGCATTCTGTCGCACTTGCACACTCAGAAAATTGTAGATTTCCCTATGTGGTAAGTACACTTAGATTTCCCGCTACTGCTCCCAGACCGAACAATGATACATCTGTTACAGACTTTCAAATTAAAGAATTGCTGATTTTTTTCGTTGAACGTCCCTTTCAAAAAATTCCACTCATATAGAGGGACCACCACTTAGAGGTGGTGGACTGCAAATTTTGACCTAGACTAGGCCCTGAAAGCTGTTGAGAAGTGAAGGATCTTTTTCGTGCTAACACCCACTGCGATACGGGACCTCTATTTACTGAGTATACGGTCTCATCCAAAGGATCGGTGTCCAAGTCCCGTAGTGGGATTCGAACCCATGTAGTAACTTTTAAAGTATGTTCTTACTCCGCAACTCTACAGAAAAAGCCATTAGGACTGTCCCATGTTGTACTGGGGAAAAAGGTGATTGAATCAATTCATACAAATTCATACGATGATTGTTTTTGAATATATTTATATGCAAAAAAGCTAAAAGTTAAGACCTGACAGTTTTTAATGACATTTGTACAAAGGTTTAACTTTACGAAAATACAATCCAGTTTGTTATTTTTTCCCATTTTGCATGGGGTTTCAAGATATTTCAGCCTGGTGGGCGACATTTTACACCAGGTTTGTTAACCAATAAAACATTTCTTACGTAAATGTGTACGTTTTACAAATAACATAGGAAATGTAAACAATTTGATATCAATTACACAAGGATTTAATTTTTTTTAATTTTCTTTCATAGACTTGCGGTCTCTTTACGCTTGGAATCCTGTTGTATTCCGGCAGCTGTTATGCCCATGCCTTATCAGGTAACGCTTCGTATCGTTACTTCACCTACGCTGGGGAAGCTACTCTCGCGGCAGCTTGGTTTAGCATGTTGATTTCTTGAGAAGGTGGCGATAAGGAAAAAAATCGGAGCCATCAAAAATGTGCATGTGAAAGTAGATATTTACTAATTTGACTTCGATTTGGTACTAAGAAACTTTAAAGATTAATTTAAACATATATTATTGATTCTTCAATTTTCTGTTTATTTTAATTGTTGATTAATAAGTAAAAATTTTATTTACTTTTTGAATAAAATTCATCAAAATATCAATGATATTGGCAAAATTGGTACATC